AACTGACCACCATGGCCTGCCTGCCCTGCCTCCCTCCAACTTTGGGCTGTTGGTATCACTCCCTCTCCACTTCAGTGCATGTCTTAGTTGCTGTCCCCTCAGCTACCAGCTCCACCTCTGAGGTCCAGCTTCTGTCTCTGCTGTCCCAGTTTTGAGGTTTGGTTTCTTGTTTTTCTCTGTCTCCTGCTTTCAGTCTCTTCCCTCCCACCACTCCCCAACTTCCCCTAGCAGCTATGGGGGAAGACAGGAGGAGTAACTTCTGACACCTGTGCCTCAGATTTATTCCACCCCACCTATGATGGTTCCCTTTGCCCCAAACTGGGTCCTAGGGCCTAATATTTGAGGTTTGTTTTTTGGGAATGTTGTGAGCCAGAGGAAATCGTGGCCTGGTGCTCACTCAGGCCTCCAGGAGTCAATGGGGGAGTGAAACCAATTCCCAGAGAACAAGCCACTAGAGAATTATAAAGAGAGGCCACGCTAAGGGATAAATCGGGAGAGACTTCTTAGTTGGAGGAAGAGTAGATGCTAGAGTTATGGGCCACAAGGCAGTCACTTTTTCTCTCTGCTCTCACCCACACCTGCCTCTCTCTTATCCCTGCTCCCCCACAGTGTAGGAGGGTTTGTCTATAAGGGGTGCTGCCCAAATGCTCCCCAAGCATCAGTACTCCTGGCAATCAGGACAACTGGCTCCCCTGGCCATGGGAGCCGCAGCCATGATACAGGTCTCTAATGGGGCCCTGGAGCTGTTGGGCAGGATGTTGTTGCATTTGAACCACAAGACAGTTTAAAATTGAAAAAAAGAAATCTCCTGAATTTCCCAAGTGCCTGCACCACACACTCCCCTTATCAGAACCATTTTCATGTTACTGCATACCCTGGGCCAGAGGCTCAAAAAGGACACAGTCGATTTAGGGAAGGGGGTGGCTAAGGAAGATGGTGTAGGTGAAGGTGGCTACATGACCACTTCCTCCCACCCTTCCCACCCTCTAGACAACTCTCTTCCCTACCTATTTTTGCTATGGCTATAAAGATATTTTCCCTCTGCCTCACTCCTTGACATGCCTTTACTCTGGGATCCTATTTTGGGCCTGGGGTGGGGGTATCTGGGGCTGGTCTTAGGAGGGGGGTAGGCTGCAGACTGCCTTGTACCCCCTGGATACTCTCACATGGGTTTTTCTGTGTTATTTCATAAGACTCTTTGAAGTCCAATAAAGCATGTAGGAGATTTTAACTTCTGCTGGCTTTGACTCTTATGGTGTTGTCTGTGCTCTTTGTGGCATAGCAGACAGGATGAAGAAGAGACTATTTCTGCTCTGTCAAGAGAAAATGAAACTAATACACAGACCCAAAAGGTCTCTGGGTAGCGTTACCAGATGAAATACAGGACACCCAGTTAAATTTGAATTTCAGATAAGCAATAATGATTTCAGTATAATTAAGTCCCATGCAACATTTGGGACACATTATTTTTATTTGCTAAATCTGGCAACCCTATCTCTGGGCCATCTTTTTTTTTCATTTCTTTAATATATAACTTTATTTCTGGTTATAGAAACAAATGCTAAGAGGGGAAACAGAACGTCCCCATCCACATATAATTTAATAGATAAAAGAACAGTTACAATAAATGAAAAACAAAATGTAGAAATTTTAAACTTTGTTATAGCTTTAAAACATTAATGTCTGATACAATTAGAAATCACATTCATTTCTCAAACTTAAAAAAAAAGTATGGCTCCTTATTTAAAAAGTACTGTATGTATCCCATTAGAAATGAAAAGGCAGGCCGCACAGCCGCAGTGGGTCCTGTCTCCCAAGGGCAGCCTGGCTCCTGCCACCACGGATGTCCACGAGCCGTTCTGGGCTCCCCAGACCAGACTTCACTCACAGGCGGTGACATTGCAATGTGACCTCCACTTCACACCCCAGGCTTAGACCTTAATTTCCACTTTGTAGGAAACCACTGCTTTTAAAGCACTGATTATTAAACATATTGTAAAAAATACTTTAGACAGCCAGCCACTGTAAAAAAAAAAAAAAAAAATCACACGCTCACACACATACATACACACAGTTCTCTGGGCCATCTTGACCCCACCTATCTTATAGCTTCACCTGTGACCAGTGACTTAGAATTACTTCACAGATCAACAAACAAGTGTTGGCAAGGATGTAGAGAAAAGGGAACCCTTGTGCACAGTTGGTGGGAATGCAGATTGGAAAACGGTATGGAGGGTCCTCAAAAAATTAAAAATGGAACTGCCCTATGACCCAGAGATTCCACTTCTTGGCATATATATGAAGAAACCTAAAGCACTAATTCAAAAGAATATATGCACCCCTATGTTCAGTGTTACTGCAGTGTTATTTACTATAGCCAAGATATGGAAGCAACTCAAGTGTCTATCATTAGACAGATAAAAAAGTAGTGGTACAGCCCTAGCTGGTTTGGCTCAGTGGATAGAGCGTTGGCCTGCGGACTGAAGGGTCCCAGATTCGATTCCGGTGAAGGGCATGTACCTTGGTTCCAGGGTGTGCAGGAGGCAGCTGGTCGATGTTTCTCTCTTATTGATGTTTCTGACTCTCTATCCCTCTCCCTTCCTTTCTGTAAAAAATCAATAAAATATATATTTTTTAAAAAGTAGTGGTACATATATACAATGGAATATTATTCAGCCACAAAAAAAGAAAGCTTATCATTTGCAACAGCACAGATGGATCTAGAGCAGCCGTGGGCAAACTACGGCCCGCGGGCCAGATCTGGCCCGTTTGAAAGGAATAAAACTAAAAAAAAATGACCATATCCTTTTATGTAATGATGTTTACTTTGAATTTATATTAGTTCACACAAACACTCCATCCATGCTTTTGTTCCGGCCCTCCGGTCCAGTTTAAGAACCCATTGTGGCCCTCGAGTCAAAAAGTTTGCCCACCCCTGATCTAGAGGGTATTATGCCAAGTGAAATAAGTCAGTCATAGACAAATACCATTTTGCACTTACATGTGAAATCTAAAGAACAGTACAAACAAAACAGAAACAGACTTATTGATACAGAGAACAGACTGATGGTTTCCAGAGGGGAGGGGGCTTGGGAGACTGGGTGAAAAAAGTGAAGGGATTAAGAAGTACCAATTGGTAGTTACAAAATAGTCATGGGGATGTAAAATACAGCCTAAGAAATATAGTCAATCTATATATAAAAGCCTAATATGCAAAGTATCCCCTTGGGAGTTCGATCACTTGCTATGACATGCGCTGACCACCAGGCGGCGGCGTGGAACAAAGGAATGCCCCTGCTGGCAGCTGCTAGGGACCCTACCCATGCATGAATTTCGTGCACTGGGCCTCTAGTATTATAATAACTGTGTATGGTGCCAAATGGGTACTGGAAATATCATGAGGAACACCTTCCTAAAGTATGTAATTATCTAACTACTATGCTGTACACCTGAAACTAATACAAAACAATATTGAATGTAAACTGTAACTGAAAAAAAACCCCAGTATTTTCACATTAAAAAAATTATTTTTCAGGGAGATTGGGATGCATCTGGAGGATACATACTGCCAAAGAATTATTACTATAAGACAATAAATAAAACATTTTATCCTTAAACACACAAAGACAACCAATGGGTCCGGGCTGCCTGTCACTACTTGAGCCAGTTAAGCAGGCACAGAGATGAATAATATATGAGTATTTATTCCAATAATGCTGGCAGTATGGGAGAGCAGCGGGTCATCCACAAAAATCTGCTCTGCCCCTCCCCATAAACCAGCTGCTTACATTAGGTAGAAGGACAAAGATTATGTGGGAAAGTAAGAATTAAAGAATTATAGGCATGGGGAAGTAGGAAGGTATAATGGTTACAGGCAATGAGGGCTGGTGCCTCTGGGGTGCCTCCAGGCACCTCTGGGACCAGATTATTGACAATAGGGGGTGGGGGTTTGCAAAGGGTGGGTGCCTCTGGGACTATCTGAGGTCGTAAATCTTTCCATGATAGGCAGCACTCAGAAAAGGAGGATGGACTGCATTCCGATGTTAGCGCCCAAATCAGCCAGGTTAGAATGTGCTTTCTCTAATCGGAACAGAACAGTTAACAGAGCATGATTAATACTTCTTACAATTACAGCCAGTCCCCACTATTCTATTTCTGCCCCTACCAAAACCAACGCAAGATTTTAGGAAGGGAACGCCACATGAGGTTTCATAAAAATCAGTTTGTGTAGCCCAAATCACCAGCTTCTACATCAGTCACCAAGACACGTCTATTCACCTCCACAAGGACGTTATGGCTGACCCGGTCTCTACCACTGTCCCCCGAAAAACTCGAAAAGCAAATGGATCTTGTCCCTTCTCAAAACTCTCCCGGGGCTCCCATTTACATCAGGGTAAAACCCTCGCCTAGCAAGGCTTTCCAATCAGACAGAGTAGTGCCAGGCTTTCTGCTGACCTAACAGGCCGGAGGCTCCCGGCCCTCCGGCTGTGGATCCCAGGCTACAGCTCACATCAGACGGCAGTCTCGTGTTATCAAAATAGTACAGTAGGCAAGATAAGAAAACGTGTTTTGGATGGTTGGCTTTTAGTTATTTCAAAATACTTGAACTGTCTTGACCGCAGCGGGGACGCAATGGCGAGAGCGAAGGGCCCGACCTGGTGCGCTCTGAGTGCTGGGTCCCGTCCCAGGCTCGGCTAAGACTTGGCGGCGAGAGATCAGTGTCGACTCCGTACCCCACGCAGGTGCAGGAGCGGCGCGGGCTGCTGGACTCTGCCCACACTTAATATGGCGGCGGGAGCGTCGCATTCCCGCCGGGCGTGCCCACACCCACTGCTGCCACGAAAGGGGCGTGGTTTCTTGGGCCCCGCCCACGTTCAAACGGTGGCTAATGAGCAAGGCTGACTTTCTGTAAAGCTGGTCCTTCCCACCGCCGGGCGCTGGCAGCGTAGCGTAGAGAACGTGATGCGTGCGACGTTGTTTTGCGTCTCGGGTGGCGGGAAGGAGATTCGGCTTGTCTTGCCTTTGCTCTGCGGAGGAGAGTGCGCTTCGGACCCGAATCGCATCCGTATCGCCTCAGCTACCAGCCGCGATGCATGTGATCAAGCGAGGTGAGCGGCCGGGGAGGGGCCGGTGGGACAGTGGGGGGCG